CACCTTCTGATGATGTTAGACTGGGAACGTATTCGAGTAGTTTAAGCTTCTTTCTACAGTAATTGGAAAAACTTTTACTGCTTCTGTGAAGGGCTATTCTCTTTTCCTCCATTAGCTGATGACGTAGAAGTAATCGCTTCAACTCACGTGCGAATGTGTCACATTTCGAGCTATGCAGCAGGTAGGATGAAAAAGTGCGTCTAATTTTATCCTGCAGGACATGTGCACGCCTGGGATACTTCGGTGATTTCTCTTTGAGCAGCCCCATCGGTATATATTTGGCGATCAAATGATGGCAGATGCTCAAAAACTTTGTGTAGAACATACCAGAGCTACTGAAGGCATTGCTTAAATTAATCCTGTCGATTTTCGACACTTCAGACATGATAGCGTCATTATTTCTCTTCCTGAAACATCGGCATGACCTGGCCGGAGGTTGGAAACTGGAAGGGAGATAGGAGATTGTGAGTTCGGCAGTTTTGTGGTCAGAAGTGCTGAAAGGAGAGAGTTCACAAAGGTTCCCGTTAAGTTCTGGTTTAGAGAACAAAATGACTTCTAAAATATTGAGTCCATGCGTTGGAGCTTTGACCATTTGTAAAAGATTGATTAACTGGGAGAAACGGAGGAAAAAAGCGACGATGGCGAAGAAAAGCCCCTCTGTGAGTCATATTGTCGCAATCAATCAAGGAGAAGTTCAATTCACCAGATATGATATGATAATATTACCAACCCATTCATCAAAGAGCTGATGCAGAAATACATTGAACTCTGAGAAAACAGCTAAAGTGCAGGAGAGACTACGGTAGGCAAGAACAATGGCGATTTTATCATCACAAATCTTGAATTCGAACGCCAGTGTTCGCGATAGCTCACTAAACTCTTTTTCGCGAGGAGATTGTGTGAAAAACTCTTGTGGACAAGGGCAAGTACCCCACCTTCGGCCCTGACGCCCACCCTGTCACAGCGGTATACTTCATATATGGAATCAAAGCTACAGTAGCGCTCAAAAGTCTTCAGTGAAATGGCTCTCCAGGGGAACTTTTTAGTCGTAACTTCTTTCGAACTGGATCTAATCATGCAAAATTTCTATATTTGGAGTGTGGGTGTATTGTGAATATTTATCACTATTAACCTGCAATCTCATCAAGTTCCAGACATTCCAAAGAGCATGAACTCAAAATCGACTGGATTTACAGATGATGGTCCTTCTAAAATCTCTTTCTTTTTTGTAATGTCTAAAGTGTACGAGCGGTAATGACGAACACAATAGATGAGAAAAGCGCACACAGGATGCGAATAAGTGCAGACGTCAACAACTTTACTTTTAGCGAAATCTGCTACCGCAACAAACCCCTTGCTCTATCTGTAGATATTGCGGCTTTCCAGTCAAATAGCGTTGTGTAGGGTGAAATATGCTCTAGTTAAGCATATCCAAATTTTGCGCGATTTGGTCCACTAAGAAGAAAGTTATAAACGAAAAAGCGTCAAAGCATTTCACCGGAGACTTTTGAGCGCTACTGTAAGTACAGCATCATGGATAGAATGTGGTTTACACCAGCTTTCAGTAACGAAAACTGCTCACGGTCTTTGCTGGAGAATGAAGTTGAGATCAGGTAGCTTATCGACAATCAAGCGTGCATGAAAAAGCGTGAAAAAAGAAACCCGCGACCGTCTAGGGGCGAGCCAAGAAGAGCACGGGAGTTTTCACTGACTACGAAACTTCTGTTGACCCTATTGACCGACCCCATTACTAGCGAGTTGCCGCTGGGGATAAAGCAATACGATCAGTTGGCGCTTGCGGATCACTTGAGGTCATCATCGAGCTCGAATTGAACACTGAGTCTGCC